TTTCTCTTTCTCTTTCTCTTTCTTTCTTTCTTTCTTTCTTTTCTTTCTTTATTTCTTTCCTTTTTTCTTTCTTTTTTTCTTTCGCCTTTCTTTCTTTCTCAAATCTCACTCTTAACAATCACATTTTTAGGAATTTGAAAAAACAACAACAAAATATAAACTAATTAACAACAATAATTTATATTCTTTGCTTGCTCTTACCATAAAAAATGAGAAAAGATTAATTGAATAAAATCATTTTTTTTAATAATTCGGCTAGACTTACCCATTATGCAAGAAATAAATATCCAGAAGATATCCATTTTAGATTTTTGTATAAATAGATCTGGCTAAATTGAACTCACGCACGCTTACACACAGCTTGTAGATGAGAGAATAAATCATACATGTGTTGCCGCGCGCGCGGAGAAAAAACTATGGAACGCTAACATTGCCGTCATAACTACCGTTGCTTCCTTAAACATATTGAATGCTTCATAGACTAAATAGCAAGTTTGTCTGTGCCTTCACTCACTTCTCACTTATGTAATGGATATCTTCAACGTTCTATAAACCTCCGTTAAAGAATTATCCATCGCACACATAACTGATTTTTTTCTTTTTCTTTTTTTTTCTTTACTTAGGTTGACGAAAATGTATTTTCGAAGTTTGTTCACCATTTAATGTGCGTCTGAGCCAATCACTTGTGTGCAGTTTTATTGAGGAAAATAACCTAACACCGAAGAACGTTTAAACTGTTCTTTCAATTAGTCTAAGAATTGCACTTACTTTATTAGTTCTGTTTATATATATACAGTGTTGCATATTTTTCAGTATTATTTCGTAAAAAAACCTAAAATTTTAAGTATTTAGAGCTTTCAGACAACAGTGAAGACTTTAAATATTGACCATTTATTGTCCAATTCTTTAAATACAGTTTTAATATATACACCATTGATGTAGTTTTGATATTAACACCATTTATTTTATACGGAGGTAATTTGTAGTTTATAGTTTATTGAAGTCTCATCCATTTCTTGTATATATAATACAAAATATTTAATACAAATACACATTTAATAAAACTGAAAATGGTCAATGGTTATTTTTATAAAGAATAATAGGAGACTACTCAGTATGTTTTCACAAACATTTTACAAACATCATAATATATAATCCACAGTTAAAAGTTTTGATTACCATTACATCAATCAAAGTGTACAATCTACATTAAAACTAGAACAACGCGAGTCGGATGTGTCGCCTTGTGAAAAATATAGTTTAGGAGAAATGGCGCGGATAAAAATAATATAAGAAAATTAACAAAGGGCAATAACTCAAAAAATAAGAAATGCAGAGCAGCAGTTTATGTGCACTGCACTTCTTATCAATAAGATCTATCATCCTACGAAGTTTCAAGTCTACAGCTCTTATAACTTATGAAAAATGGCCTGGACAAAAAAAAGTATGAAAATTAACAAAGGGCAATAACTCAAAAAATAAGAAATGCAGAGTACCAGTTTTTAAGGACTGCACTTTTTCTTAATGAGATCTACAATCCTATGAAGTTTCATGTCAATAGCTTTTATATTTTAGAAGAAATGGCCTGGACATGCACCTATGGACAATAATTATAGAAAATTCTGAACACTTTTTTTTTATCAAATGAAAATTATGCAATAAACAAAAACGTGTACTTGTTCCTCAAAACATTTTTATTCTCTATGTGTACAGAATTTTTTTTTGGAATAAAAAGTCGTTCCGAATTTGCAAATGAAATTATTTTTGAAGAAGTATAGAATTTTATAAAATCTAGTTATATATTTCAAAGAACTTTGCTGCTGAAACTGTACTATAAGAATATCCGGGGCTTTGGGGCTGAATATTTTTGTATCTAAAACTCTTTATTGTTGTTGATATTATGATAATGGTTCAATTATTAATATATTTTATTTCTTATTCCTTCAAGTTCATCAAATTGACTGTCGAACACAATATACATGTACATCTAAATAACTTAAGATTATCAATATTATTATGCTTTTCTATGGGGATTTCTCGATATTGAAATTTAAAATATTTTTCACAAACAAAAAGAGACAAAAATTCTTTCCAATTTTACTTTTTCTTTTTCTATGTTTATGTTAGTGTTCATCCGTGCTGTTCTACAGAAATTAGAAACTTTGACGGGAGCGATAGCGACAGGAGAATGTTTCTAATTTCTGTAGAACAGCTACGGATGAATACTAACATATATATGTCAACTTTATTTGGCCTCATAATCACTCATTTTATTACGTCACTATGCGGTTTTATGAAGTACTATGAAAAATAGAAGTCGAATATAAACGGATTTCGATATAATATCGACTTTGTTCTTCTATGAAAATTAACACACATGATTTTTAAAAAATACAGCGTTTTCATTGGATGACAAATAAAATTGGACACTAAATTATTTTTCAAATAGAAAACTTTCTCTCAACATTTTCTATCCTAAAGACTATTCTTATACTCATATGTATACATCAAATTCCTGCCAAAGTAAAATGTCATAAAGCATTATAAAAAGATATCTTTCCTTGAACAATCAAGAGATTAGCAGTGATATGTATTCACACAAAAGGATATGTTAGAGGAAATAATCATTAAATCACTGATGATCGGCGCAAAAACAGTACTTAAATCTGTTAATAGGACTTAATTCAAGATACACTTGTCTGATAAAGTTACTTGACTCGTAATTTTACGACACTATACATTTTCCAAATGTGCAATTATGAACTTTTATAATCTGTGTATAGATATATATACCATAACCTTTATTAATTATACAATGCATCTTTTTACGTTTAAACATATGATATGTGTTTAATTGCTGATAATAAACATATGATATGTGTTTCATTGCTGTTAATTAACAAATGAAGTTTTTCATTGCTGCTTATAAACATATGATATGTGTTTCATTGCTTATAATTCACAACTTATATGTGTTCCTTTGCTAATAATAAACGAAATATAAGTGTTTCATTGCTGCTAATAAACATATGATATGTGTTTCATTGCTGATAATAAACATATGATATGTGTTTCATTGCTGCTTATAAGCATATGATATGTGTTTCATTGCTGATAATACACAAATGATATGCGTTTCATTGCTGATAATAAACAATATATATGTGTTCCTTTGCTAATAATAAACATATGATATGTGTTTCATTGCTGATAATAAACATATGATATGTGTTTCATTGCTGATAATAAAAATATGATATGTGTTTCATTGCTGCTTATAAGCATATGATATGTGTTTCATTGCAGATAATACACAAATGATATGCGTTTCATTGCTGATAATAAACATATGATATGTGTTTCATTGCTGCTTATAAGCATATGATATGTGTTTCATTGCTGATAATACACAAATGATATGCGTTTCATTGCTGATAATAAACAATATATATGTGTTCCTTTGCTAATAATAAACATATGATATGTGTTTCATTGCTGAAAATAAACATATGATATGTGTTTCATTTGCTGATAATAAAATATGATATGTGTTTCATTGCTGCTTATAAGCATATTGATATGTGTTTCATTGCAGATATAATACACAAATGATATGCGTTTCATTGCTGATAATAAACATATGATATGTGTTCATTGCTGCTTATAAGCATATGATATGTGTTTCATTGCTGATAATACACAAATGATATGCGTTTCATTGCTGATAATAAACAAATTATATGTGTTCCTTTGCTAATAATAAACGAATTATATTTGCTTCATTGCTGATTATAAAAGTATCATATGTGTTTCATTGTAGATAATTAACATATCATATGTGTTTCGCAGTTGATAAAAGCAGATCATATGAGATTCACTGCCGATAACAAACCTATCATATGTGTCTCATTGCTGATTATGAACGTACCATTTGTGTTTCATTGTTCATACTAAACATATTATATGTTTTAATCGCTAATTATTAACATAATTATTATAAAAAAAATTTCATTATCATATGTGATTCATTGCTAAATATAAATAGATTATATGCCTTTCATTTCTGAAAATGATATATCATTTGTAATTAATTGCTGATAACAACATATCATTGAGTTTCATCGCTGATAATTAAAATAATTCATGTGTTTTATTGCTGATGATTGACATATTGTATGTGATTCATTGCTGACAATAAACATATTATATGTGTTTCAATGACTGCTATGAATTAAGGGTAAGTAAGCTGATAAGCACACGTTCAAAATTCATAAGATTATAGAACACCAGGTCGTAAGTCATAAGACCATTTCCTACATGTAAATCTATTGGAAAATTGGTAACGTAAAACATGACGTTTCTTGCTACACAAACATAAAATGATACAATTAAATTTGTCAATACAATTTTATAGGCAACTATATCATTAGAAACTATGATACATATAGTCTAACAAGGAAGAAAATGGAAGACGGATGATAAGGAGGTTGAACAAATGGAGAAATCATACAAGTTCTCACTTATCACATCCTGTGTAATCATACACTAATTAACATCCTATATATCCATGTTCTTACTTAAACTAATCGGGAACATGACTAGGACATACTCTTTACAACCATGAATGTCCCATACAGATGGAAATATTATATATGTACTATGCTCAATATGTAGATTGAATTTTAATACTTCATTATGCAATAATGAATTTACTTGCATTATGATATTAACATATACAAAGTCTCCTATAACTTTGCAGAGAGTGACAATGTGCCTTTCTTAATAATGCTTAATTATGCTTTTTATTTATGAAATTTTGTATATATACAGTATCACATTGATGAGACTATAATAGAATAAATAAAATAATATATTATTTGACTCGCAAAATCACTGCCAAAATAAATTAAATATTACATGAAATCTTTTATATAGAATAGTCTGACCATAACTTGAACATTTTCGTTTATCGCGCATGCGCCTTTTTATATCCTTAACGATAAGTAAACACAGGTATAATATCAGGTAAATTTCGTTGGTTTATATTATTTTTATTACTGCTAAATAGATTACACTTGCACCTTTTTTATTGTCGATTGGAAGCTTGAAATTAAAAGTTCAAATGTAGCAAATAGATTTTAAAATGAGAAAGTAACTAGATTATGGTTTTAATCGATTTTAAGTTTAAAGCTTCAAATATCAACCTTCAATCAATTCATGCGTATCATCGTATGTATACATAGTAAATATTATACAAAAGAATAGTAAATATAATACAAAAGAATAGTTAATATAATACGACAGAATATACATATTTCATTGTTAAAGACTTTTTAGAAAATAATGATAATGGCTACACAGTCTCTTTGTAAATACAGCCTAAACCTGTTTTGACCTATTAATTAGCACGAAGCAGGTATGTAACCTTTAAAATACAATATAAAGTGTCATAACCAAATGGAAGGCTGTTTTTTGTGTGTGTGTGTTTTTTTTTAAGAAAAGACCAACTTTGCTTGATCCGTAATAGGGAACGCATTTTCCCATAAAAAGTTTATTCTTTCTTTGTTTCAAGTTTGAAATATTCAGTAAGAATTTTATAGAGTTCAATAAATTTATTTTATTCAATGATAAATGATAACAATTAATATATTTGAGAAAGTCGTTTTAGGTATCAAAGTTAACTAAACGACTGTAGGCCGTTTTCGATATTTGTTTTTATCTGACCATAGTATTATTAATCAAAGCACTAAACATGCTGTTAGCGGCATCCAACACATTTATTCATAGACATAATTTAGTAGACTGCCTTATGGACGGTTTGACTAATTTAACAGACTGTTTTTTTCCTATTGTCGTACCATTAAGCCTAATTCTTACTGCCATTCTCATGAATATGTCGGCGACACTTTGCTAGTCTGGGCCAATTTAAACTGTTTAAATCAGAAAACATCTTATTATTTTAAAAATCATTAGAATACAATATCATATACATATATAATACCTTATCACAATAGAAATTTCATCCAATGACACATATCAGGGATTAATTTTAATTAGATTTGTATTTTTATTTCTTTGGCGGACATATTTAGACTTCTTCGGAAAAAAAATCAATTTTGTGATAACTGCTGATAAAGTAATTTCCAATGTGGTCTTATCCGGTCTCTCTAGATTGGAAAATACTAGACACAATATAATTACCCTAAAATTCAACTCCTCCAGGTGTTTACCTCGGCTTTTTCGTATTGGAATTGTAGTACATAAAGTCTTATACGATTTTGAAAGATAAATTCATATTTAAGACACCTAAAATAGTTGTTCTTCCTTCTCATGTGAAGTAAGAACTATGTTTGTTGAAACTCACTGAGACGATATTAAACTTCACTTAGAAGTCCAAGGCATTCAGAAAATAGATGGGCGCTGGGATCTTGGTATAAGAAAGTTTTACTTTGAGGCAGGCCTAGACATTAACTTTTGAATCAGGTTGTCCTATCGGGCAAGTAGTTTTTAAAACTACTTGCCCGTGACCTAAGACTTACTTGTCCTGACCTAAAAATGGTAAAAATGTATAAATCAGAAAAACAAACAAGCTCATAAATATTTTTTGTATTTAGTAGTTTTTCTAAAACATCGGTTCATCTGTTTATTCAATGTGAATATACTACGGTCATGTACATTTGTTGATATAGGAAACGGAAGGAAAAATATGAGCATGCGCCGCGGTAAGGAAATTCCCTGTTCAATCATCAAGTCAACAGCCGTAAACGAGTCTTCGTTTACTAAGTTCATAATGTTGTTATTTTAGATTAAACAATAAATCATTTTTAATGCAAAAACTTTATTTAACAATTATATTTTAAGATCAATATGATTATCTACATATTTTCAATGATATCTTTACATGCAAACATCAAAATTTAAACAACAGCATAACCCGGGAATTACCTTGTACAAAATTAGATATAGTCTATTATTAGAACAGAGAATTACCTTACCGCGGCGCATGCTCATATTTTTGCTTCCGTTTCCTATATCAACAAATGTACATGACCGTAGTATATTCACATTATTGATAATAATTCATGGTGTATTTTTGTTTTAAAGATGTTTATAAATGAAAAGATGTTATTTCTATTCATTTTGTACATGCATTTTGTCAATGATGCTTTTTATTTTCACTTGCCCTGTCGGACAAGTGCTTTTCAAAATAACTTGCCCGGACCAAACTTTTAGTTGTCCCGGGCAGTCGGACAACCGTTAATGTCGAGCCCTGATTTACCTCTAGGTAAACCAAGTAATCCGTAGCAGACAACAGAAAACAAAAGCTAATGATCAATGAACAAGTGAATAAAACATTTAGTTTTAATCATTTCTTCGTTTTCTATATTTACTTAGTGCTGTCCCGTCCAATCAAGCACACATTTGGGAATATGTAGTAAGGGGAACAAAAGGTAACAGTAAATTTTCTTTGTTCCTATTCATTCCGTAAATCAAAATTGACATTGGTAAAAATATATGATCCAGATGTGCACTATAACATGAAAGAGAAACTAGGTCAATCGGGTTGAATGTGTAGAGGGGTGGTGTTCTCTAAATTGGAGTGTTGAAGTATGTAGGCGGAAAAGTGTGTTATCCCGAAAAGTTTTGCGAAGCAATATCATACGTTCTTATACATGTATAACATAAGGGACAATCTTTTCAAATCATTTTAATCTAAAATCATTAATAAACCATTTATACTATCTCATACTGCACGTTAAATGACTAGGTCACCATGTGAGGGTTGTATTGACTATCTCATACTGCACGTTAAATGACTAGGTCACCATGTGAGGGTTGTATTGACTATCTAATACTACACGTTAAATGACTAGGTCACCATGTGAGGGTTGTATTGACTATCTAATACTACACGTTAAATGACTAGGTCACCATGTGAGGGTTGTATTGACTATCTAATACTACACGTTAAATGACTAGGTCACCATGTGAGGGTTGTATTGACTATCTCATACTACACGTTAAATGACTAGGTCACCATGTGAGGGTTGTATTGACTATCTAATACTACACGTTAAATGACTAGGTCACCATGTGAGGGTTGTATTGTGTGTTAATGTTTGGCTATGGATGAATACAATACTGTTTATGTTATATGATTATTTAAGTACACACTGACTTAATAATTTAAGAAAACACTGACTTAATAATTTAAGAAAACACTGACTTAATAATTTAAGAAATCACTGACTTAATAATTTAAGAAAACACTGACTTAATAATTTAAGAAAACACTGACTTAATAATTTAAGAAAACACTGACTTAATAATTTAAGAAAAAAATGACTTAATAAATTAAGAAAACACTGACTAAATAAGAAAACACTGACTTAATAAGAAAACACTGACTTAATAAGAAAACACTGACTTAATAAGAAAACTGTAAGGAAACACTGACTTAATAATTTAAGAAAACACTGACTTAATAATTTAAGAAATCACTGACTTAATAATTTAAGAAAACACTGACTTAATAATTTAAGAATCACTGACTTAATAATTTAAGAAAACACTGACTTAATAATTTAAGAAAACACTGACTTAATAATTTAAGAAAAACAAATGACTTAATAAATTAAGAAAACACTGACTTAATAAGAAAACACTGACTTAATAAGAAAACACTGACTTAATAAGAAAACACTGACTTAATAAGAAAACACTGACTTAATAAGAAAACTGTAAGGAAACACTGACTTAATAATTTAAGAAAACACTGACTTAATAATTTAAGAAATCACTGACTTAATAATTTAAGAAAACACTGACTTAATAATTTAAGAAAACACTGACTCAATGATTTAAGAAATCGTTGACTTAATAATTTAAGAAAACACTGATTTAAAAATTCAAGAAAACACAGACTTAAAGATTTAAGAAAACACTGACTTAATAATTTAAGAAAAAAAAATGACTTAATAAATTAAGAAAACACTGACTTAATAAGAAAAAACACTGACTTAATAAGAAAACTGTAAGGAAACACTGACTTAATAATTTAACAAAACACTGACTTAATAATTTAAGAAAATACTGACTTCATAATTCTACTAAACACTGACTTCATAATAATAATTTAAGAAAACACTGACTTAATAGTATAAGGATTCAATGACTTAATAACTCAAGATGTCACTGTTTGATATTTGTAGAATGGCAACGTTAGATGAAGAGAGGTATTTGAGACATATATGGTTGCTTGGCGAGGGAGGTTTGTTTGTATTAAGAGGCTTGATATCGAGAGAAGTGACAAATAGTGGCAGTACGCTAGACAATCTTCTGCAGAATGGGCGAGCTTTATTTCGGAGTATTCTAAGAGAACAAAATCAACATCTTTTTCCGTCTTCTACGACAGTTAATGCAGATATATACACTTGGGATATGTCGCTACTTTTGTGTGTGTTGAAAAGAATGTTTTGGTCGAGCCTATCTCTTGCAGAAAAAGCATCTATACGTACACTGAAGACCTTTCGAGATGATTTCCAAGGACATCCAACCATAATGACTATGAGTGAATCAGACTATTCTATCAATCGGCAACTACTAGAACAATCTTTACGACATATTTCGTCGAAAATCAATGCAAACGTAGAAATAGAAGTTATCATAAACAGAACAGCATCCGGTAATATTGATGTACAGTCAGCTTTTAAACACATCAAAGAGATACATGATTTTAAAACAAGTTTCCTGTGTGCCCTAGAAGACAAGTTCCAACAAATAACTCCGAAACTATCTTCCATAGACACAACTACTACTGCCATTCAAGGTAATATGCTCATGTATCAGTTGTTTTTAAAATACTTTACAAAGTTGTATACTGTATTTATTGATAAATACTATTGTAATGGAGCTTTGAAAACGTTTAGATAAGAAAACACATTTTTTTAATTATCAGAATTGAAAAACAGAAGTGTCGTACGTTTCTTTGAAAATTTAAGTAAAATTAGTTTGTGCAAAATATAGTTAGGATTCTGTAATGTAGAAGTTTCTTATGGTTGAATTAGAAAGTACATTGAAATATACAAAAATAGACTTATTCAAAAGCTTGAAGTCGCCTCTTACGTTTATAGCAATAAATGCGTGTTTTTTACCCTTTATAACTGTTTTTTTTAAAGAAAAACAAGAACGGATTATCCGGTCACTGACAGAACTAAAAAACTTGAACGTTCAAAAAACGAAACACGAGTTTAAACGAGGTAAAATAATTTACTTATTTTGTGTTAAGATATCTTTCTCAGATGAACTTCATAATAAAATGTATGATGGTTTACCATGTGATACAAATTTATTCTCCCTAACAATTTAGATCCTAGCTTAATATAACTTCACATGACAGAGCTAATCAGGGTACTACAGTTAGATCATAATTCAATATAACTTCACATTACAGAGCTAGTCACGGTACTACAGTTAGATCCTACTTCAATATAACTTCACATTACAGAGCTAATCAGGGTACTACAGTTAGATCATAATTCAATATAACTTCACATTACAGAGCTAGTCACGGTACTACAGTTAGATCCTACTTCAATATAACTTCACATTACAGAGCTAATCAGGGTACTACAGTTAGATCCTACTTCAATATAACTTCACATTACAGAGCTAATCAGGGTACTACAGTTAGATCCTACTTCAATATAACTTCACATAACAGAGCTAGTCACGGTACTACAGTAAGATCCTACTTCAATATAACTTCACATTACAGAGCTAATCAGGGTACTACAGTAAGATCCTACTTCAATATAACTTCACATTACAGAGCTAATCACGGTACTACAGTTAGATCATACTTCAATATAACTTCACATTACAGAGCTAGTCACGGTACTACAGTAAGATCCTACTTCAATATAACTTCACATTACAGAGCTAATCAGGGTACTACAGTTAGATCATACTTCAATATAACTTCACATTACAGAGCTAATCACGGTACTACAGTTAGATCATACTTCAATATAACTTCACATTACAGAGCTAGTCACGGTACTACAGTAAGATCCTACTTCAATATAACTTCACATTACAGAGCTAATCAGGGTATTACAGTTAGATCCTACTTCAATATAACTTCACATTACAGAGCTAATCACGGTACTCTTATTAGATCCTACTTCAATATAACTTCACATTACGGAGCTGTTTTTATTGTTGTTTCATTTTACGCCTTTTTCCATCCAACAGTACTTCAGTCATATAGGCGGGTAGTTTCCTAACCATCGTTCCTGGAGAGTTACACCAGTACTAGACTACCTTCCTCCGCGCTAAACTACCAAAGCATCTCCAGGGGATCGAACCCACACCAGAGAGGTAACTGGATTAGATATCATCGACTCTAACCCCTCGACCACGGAGGCGGTCTCATTTCGGAGCTAGTCACGATACTATAATTAGATCTTAGTTCAATATAACTTCACATTACAGAGCTAATCACGGTACTATGTTTAGATCCTAATTCAATATAACTTCACATTACAGAGCTAATCACGATTCTACATACTGGCTGCGACAATGAGGAAAATAAGAAGAAAGCAACTGACGTACTATTTGACTTTGTCAAAATAATACAAAGTAAAAGCACATTTAGTGATGAAGAGGTCAAGGATATTATAAGAACAAGAATTGAATGGTATGGTAATGTGTCCTTAGATTTAATGGATGATGTAACAAAATGGTTTGGTGATATAAATGGACTTTCTGACACAATTCCTGGCTATCCGTATTTAGGAAGTATACGTGTACCAATTTACTGTACCTCAGTAACAGGCATACTACAATTTTTGAACTATTTGAATGGAAATCAATGCAGACATCGATTATCCAGCATTTCGTCTAGTATCAGCACAATGCTTGGTTTCACATGCTCATTTACATGGACTATAAATCCCGTGGATCTACAGAATGTCTTCCCTTCATTTTGTAAGTTACGATATTTTTATTGTTTTAAAGTTGAGAAAAAAAACTAAACAAAAAGAATAAATGTTACACGTTAAATTAACGCAAATGTATATACAAATGTGCACAAAAGTACAAATTTTGTATACTTTCAGAAACTTTTGTTTTGTTTAAATCATAGCTGTATCTTTTTATAGATTGTTTTTTTACAATTTCAAATCAAAGAATTTATTGGTAGATTTTGTCATGTATGCTACGTTGCACCACTTTCACATACTGAGCATTTGATGAAAACTATTATATGAAGTGAATCTTATAGATTGATAACGGACTGAAATGTAAAAACTTATGGATTTTAAATATTTTATGAAAAGTGAAGTTTTTCACCATTTCTCTTTAAACGACTAAAATAATGGTATGTAAATCCAAAAATACTCAAATTATATACCACCTTCGAAACAAAGACAGTAAAATGCTATACAACGTTCGAAACAAAGACAGTAAAATGCTATACAACGTTCGAAACAAAGAGAGTAAAATGCTATACAACGTTCGAAACAAAGACAGTAAAATATTATATACCGATAACATTTGGAAACAAAGACAGTTAAATATTATATAACATTTGGAAACAAAGGCAGTAAAATGCTATATAACCTTCGAAACAAAGACAGTAAATTGCTATATAACCTTTGGAAACAAAGACAGTAAAATGCTATATAACCTTCGTAACAGGACAGTAAATTGCTACATAACCTTCGAAACAAAGACAGTAAAATGCTCTATAACCTTTGGAAACAAAGACAGTAAAATGCTCTATAACCTTCGAAACAAAGACAGTAAATTGCTATATAACCTTTGGAAACAAAGACAGTAAAATGCTATATAACCTTCGTAACAGGACAGTAAATTGCTACATAACCTTCGAAACAAAGACAGTAAAATGCTCTATAACCTTCGAAACAAAGACAGTAAATTGCTATATAACCTTTGGAAACAAAGACAGTAAAATGCTATATAACCTTCGTAACAGGACAGAAAATTGCTACATAACCTTCGAAACAAAGACAGTAAATTGCTATATAACCTTTGGAAACAAAGACAGTAAAATGCTATATAACCTTCGTAACAGGACAGTAAATTGCTACATAACCTTCGAAACAAAGACAGTAAAATGCTACATAACCTTCGATACAAAAACAGTAAAATGATACATGACCTTCGAAACAAAGGCATTAAAATGCCATATATGCTTCAAAACAAAGACAGTAAAATGCTACATAACCTTCGAAACAAAGACAGTAAAATGATACATGACCTTCGAAACAAAGGCATTAAAATGCCATATATGCTTCAAAACAAAGACAGTAAAATGCTACATAACCTTTGAAACAAAGACAGTAAAATGCTACATTACCTTCGAAATAAAGACAGTAAAATGCTATATAACCTTTGAAACAAAGACAGTAAAATGCTATATAACCTTCGTAACAGGACATTAAAATGCTACATAACCTTCGAAACAAAGACAGTAAAATGCTACATAACCTTCAAAACAAAGACAGTAAAATGATACATGACCTTCGAAACGAAGGCAGTAAAATACCATATATGCTTCAAAACAAAGACAGTAAAATGCTACATAACCTTCGAAACAAAGACAGTAAAATGCTACATAACCTTCGAAACACAAACATAACCTTCAAAACAAAGACAGTAAAATGATACATGACCTTCGAAACAAAGGCAGTAAAATGCCATATATGCTTCAAAACAAAGACAGTAAAATGCTACATAACCTTCGAAACAAAGACAGTAAAATGCTTTACAACCTTCGAAACAGGACAGTGAAATATTATACAACCTTCGGAACAAAGACAGTAAAATGCTAAATAACCTTCGGAACAAAGACAGAAAAATACTACAAAACTTCGAAACAAAGACAGTAAAACGCTATACAACCTTCGAAACAAAGACAGTAAAATGCTATATAACCTTCGTAACAGGACTATAAAATGCTACATAACCTTCGAAACAAAGACAGTATAATGCTATACAACCTTTGAAACAAAGATAGTAAAATGCTACACAACCTTCGAAACAGGACAGTAAAATGCTATACAACGTTCGAAACAATGTCAGTAAAATGCTATATAACCTTCGAAACAAAGACAGTAAAATGCTATATAACATTCGGAACAAAGACAGTAAAATGATACATGACCTTCAAAACAAAGACAGTAAAATGATACATGACCTTCGAAACGAAGGCAGTAAAATACCATATATGCTTCAAAACAAAGACAGTAAAATGCTACATAACCTTCGAAACAAAGACAGTAAAATGCTACATAACCTTCGAAACACAAACATAACCTTCAAAACAAAGACAGTAAAATGATACATGACCTTCGAAACAAAGGCAGTAAAATGCCATATATGCTTCAAAACAAAGACAGTAAAATGCTACATAACCTTCAAAATAAAGACAGTAAAATGCTTTACAACCTTCGAAACAGGACAGTGAAATATTATACAACCTTCGGAACAAAGACAGTAAAATGCTAAATAACCTTCGGAACAAAGACAGAAAAATACTACAAAACTTCGAAACAAAGACAGGAAAACGCTATACAACCTTCGAAACAAAGACAGTAAAATGCTATATAACCTTCGTAACAGGACTATAAAATGCTACATAACCTTCGAAACAAAGACAGTATAATGCTATACAACCTTTGAAACAAAGATAGTAAAATGCTACATTATCTTCGAAACAGGACAGTAAAATGCTATACAACGTTCGAAACAATGTCAGTAAAATGCTACATAACCTTCGAAACAAAGACAGTAAAATGCTATATAACATTCGGAACAAAGACAGTAAAATGATACATGACCTTCAAAACAAAGACAGTAAAATGATACATAACCTTCGAAACAAAGACAGTAAAATGCCATACAAACTTCGAAACAAAGACAGTAAAATGCTATATATGCTTCAAAACAAAGACAGTAAAATGCTACATTACCTTTGAAACAAAGACAGTAAATGCTTTTTATTACATGCTTTTCGGTGGTTTATAGAAATATATCAGTGAAATAAAACTGGTAATTTCACTGCTTGAAACAGTGAAATTACCACTTTGATAATTTCACTGTTTTGAATTTAAGCCCCTTACGTTGTTTCAGTGAAATACCAGCGTGCACAGAACTGGGTACCAACTTAATGACGTGACGTCGTAAATGACGTCACGTTGTATTATTATTTGGCGCGCTTTTCATTCAGTATTAGGTTTAATGTCTTTTTAAAACGTTTCTTTGCATATAATAAAAAGAAAATTTGTTTAGTTTAGTGTAAGATCTAAATATATTTCACCTTGTGAACACCAAAAGTTCATATTTCACTCGTGGCTGCGCCACTCGTGAAATAAACCTTTTGGTGCTCACTCGGTGAAATATATTCCGATCTTACACCGAACTAAACAAATATCCTCTATATAACCTTTGAAACAAAGGCAGTAAAATGCTATATATGCTTCAAAACAAAGACAGTAAAATGCTTTATAACCTCCGAAACAAAGACAGTAAAATGCTATATTACCTTAAAAACAATGAAAGGAAAATGCTGCGTGACCTTCGGAACAAAGACGGTAAAGTACTATATAACCTTCGAAACTAAGACAGTAAAATGCTATAGAACTTTCAAAACAAAGACAGTCAAGTGCTATACTTTTTTGTTAGCAAAGACAGTGAAAAGCTTAAATTTTTTGTAAGCAATTGATAATAAATACTATTAATACAACATCCCTTTAAGACAGTAAAATGCTTTTCATATGCCCGAAAGAATTTCGGGCATATTATGTTATACCCCCTTGGCGTCCGTTCGTCCGTCCGTACGAACCCAGAGGTACTTGTGTGATTTGGAGAACAATGGGTAACAGTAAATTCTCTTTGATCCTATTCATTTCGTTTTTACTTGTGTGTCTTTTTTTAAGCATTGTGTGACTAAAAATGGCCAAATAGATCAAAGGAAAAGTCACATAAGTACCATTTTGTGAGAATGTCCGTCCGTCCTTTATCAATTTGGTTTCTGGAGCATAACGTAAGTTCCATTCGGCCCACAGTATTCAAACTTCATAGGACGATTGCCCATATTGGGTAGAAGACCCCTATTGATTTTGGGGTCACAAGGTCAAAGGTCACTATTACCGTAAAACTGAAAATGGTTTCCGGAACAAACTTAAGTTCCATTTGGCCCACAGTATTCAAACTTCATAGGATGATTGTCCATATTGGGTAGAAGATCCCTTTTGATTTCGGGGTCACAAGGTCAAGGTCAGTATTACCGTAAAACTGAAAATGGTTTCCGGACCATAACTTAAGTCCCATTTGGCCCACAGTATTCTTACTTCATAGGATGATTGCCCATATTGGGTAGAAGACCCCTATTGATTTTGGGGTCACAAGGTCAAAGGTCAAGGTCACTATTACCGTAAAACTGAAAATGGTTTCCGGAACAAACTTAAGTTCCATTTGGCCCACAGTATTCAAACTTCATAGGATGATTGTCCATATTGGGTAGAAGACCTCTATTGATTTTGGGGTCACAAGGTCAAAGGTCAAGGTCACTTTTAGCTAAATACTGAAAATGGTTTCCGGAGCATAACTGAAGTTCCATTTGGCCCACTGTATTCAAACTTCATAGGGTGATTGTCCATATTGGTTAGAAGACCCCTATTAATTTAAGGGTCACAAGGTTAAAGGTCAAGGTTACTATTAGCTTAATACTGAAAATGGTTTCCGGAGCATAACTTAAGTTCCATTTGGCCCACAGTTTTCAAACTGCATAGGATGATTGCCCATATTGGGTAGAGGCCCCTATTGATTTTGGGGTCACATAGTCAAAGGTCAAGGTCACTATTACCCTAAAACTGAAAGTGGTTTCCGCAGAATAACTTCCGTTTCATTTGGTCCACAGTATTCAAACTTCATAGGATGATTGTACATATTGGGATAAAGACCCCTATTGATTTTTGGGTCACACAGTCAAAGGTCAAAGTCACTATTACCGTAAAACTTAAAATGGTTGTCCATATTGGGTAGAAGACCCCTATTCATTTTGGTGTCACAAGGTCAAAGATCAAGGCTACTATCACCTTTAAACTGGAAACAGTTTTCACTCAATAACTCAAGCATTAATCAACCTACATCTGTAAAATTTTATAGGATTAACAGCTTTATACCCCTGACGTCTTTTCGTCCATCCGTTGTAGATTTTTACTTACAAAATAACAACTTGATGGTGGTGCTTTGAAAACAGCAACTGTATATATACACGAATGTCCTTCAGCTATAAAGGAGGATTGCTTTTTGAAGGAGGTAATACTGTATTTAATAGCCATGTTTTACAAATGATTCATCCTTACTAAAAGAAAAAGTACTTTCCGGCATATAATGCTCCGCCTAGCGGTGCTCTTGTTAACTTTTGTAAGCAAAGACAGTAAAATATTTGGTCATAAACCATGTTGTTATGTGATAATATATATTTATTTGCTAATTAGAATTTTTCTACTCAAGGTTTAAAATGCCGTTATTCTGACAAAGAGAAAACACAACCAACAGACAAAAAGGCAGGGCTGCAATCTAGCTTTCATGGAATACAAGAAGGTACTATACTCGTATCTAACAATACAAAATAAGATCATTATTAACGTACCTTGATCTGGAATCTTCTTTATTAATCGCAAGTGCATTTCGCCAGGGAGTAATACATTGTTACAGTAGTTAAATCAATGAGAGCCAAATACATGTTTTGACTCTATAATTTGACAATTCCAGATCCAGTTGTATAAAATAACGACTTTTTATGTACATGTACGGGTTTTAAGAAAACATTACTTAGTTTATAAAAAAAGCATGATAAATGACTGAGAACTTGAAATGCTTTTGATTAAGGTCTAATGCTTTGTAACTAGAAGCAAGGGAACGAAATTGGCTTCTATGAAACTTGAAATAAAGTTGGAGAAAACTATGAATTAAAAGTGAATTTCCGCCTTTGGCTTACTTTTCACCCGTTGCTTCTCTGAATAATAACATTTCTCTTATTATAGTGTATGGCAGTTGTATTACTGTACACTTATATTAAAGTTATTTTTGTTTTAGAGTAATATTTACAAGATGATAAAGATTTTACTAAATGATAACTTATTTTGCACTTTGCTTATAAACGACCTATTCTTACATACAGATCCATATAAAGAAGAAACAGAAATGCAGTTTGCTGAAGTTGTTCAACTGCCAAAAACGACCATATACGAAACACTGATGTCTGCCGAGACACATTCAATATTATGTGATGAAAAAGATCACAGGCGCTCAGATGTTATTGGTATCGATGTCTTACCGAACGGCTATATACTTATTGTATGTTTCTTTGACAAAAAAATATTGAAGTTGAATAAAAATTTTGAGGTTATAGCCGACTGCATTCTACCTGGTCACCCTAATGATGTGTGTTATATAGGTAACGGTAAAGCAGCTCTTTGTCTAGATTACGATGATATTGTGATTGTAGATATATCGAATTATCTTGTTGTTGGTGGGCTTTTGAAAATTCAAAAATCTTGTTCTTGTATAGCATGCTATGACAATTTATTATACATAGGTGACCGCAAAGGTTGCGTGTTTACATATTCCTTAGACACTTATTGTTTAGTACGCTGCTTACACAAGTGGAACAATTTTATGCATTCTCCGCGAGGAAATATTGCCATTAGCAAAGATGGACAGAATATTTTCATCAAATATGGTCAAGGTCTTCGGAAATTAGATATCCATGGAAACATTATATCAGCCTTTCAAATAGGGGAAAATAAAAGTCCTAGTCCATTTTGTGTTATTTATGATGGGACGATCCTTTCGTGTGACTTTTACACTTGCAACTTAAGACAGATTGAACATTACGACGGACTAGAAGTGAGACAAAAACAGATCTTTGAGGAGCCAAAACTAATATCATCAATGTGTTATGATAAAAAACATTCACGTTTGCTCATTGCAGACTGTTTAATGTGTGTACATGAATTCAAATTAGATATTTAGACAACACTATTTGTTTGTATTTGTAATAATAAACGAAAGGCATGAAATAAATAGACAAAATGATGTCATTTATATTTTGCAGGAAGATATCTAACATGGTCTTAGGGGTGAGTTTGGTCACGGTCTCTACAATGTTGAAATAGATTTTTACACTTTTACAGGCGTAGATTGTTCGGACAAAGTCCGTCTGAGAACGGTTTTTCTTTAGGTACAATTTACAGAAAAGTAGGGTTATCATTTGTCATTTCAAAATTAACTGAAATCAGGGAATGTCATTGGCCATCAAAAATAAGTAAAATAATATAAAGGATCTTCGTGGAACGTCTTAATTGTTATTTAATCAAAAGGAGTTTCGGAAGCAAACTTTTTAGTTAAATTTGTCGGATATTTGAAATCTGTGAACCGTGCTGGCTTTCTCATGTTTAAGCATTTTACAACATTTTACTTCGAGAAAAACTTTTATTTTGTGAAAATTGCTTTAGCTTTGGTACAGCTGAAGAAGGACCACTTGTCAACACATCTGTATGTTGTCAGACGACCATTTCTTGGTTACCAAAGTATTTTATTATATACGTAATATATAATAAATTATATAATCGTCACCTCGGTGACGAAGGAGAACTTTATTCGCCGAAGCGACACATCATTTTAAACCCTAAATTTGCTGGAAATTTTAAATGGACCAGGACTGACTGGTACCAATTTTGCGATATCAAGATCTAAATTAATCCAGCCAGACTGCATAAATAGCAATGACTTATCTTTAGGTTTCAGCGGGTAATGCCTAGGTTCAATTAAAACGGCCGCCGCCCGATTTAACGATTTTTACAAAATCGGCGGTGATGACGATTTCGCGAACGCCGGGCGATTTTAAATCTGATACCTTGCGTGGTCATGAATGAAACTGTCGCCGGACGGTTTTAACGTATTGATGCTACAGACATTAAAGACCTCGCAATTTAAAGGTAATTTTTCAAGTTTCATAATTAATTTATTGTAATCTAAATGAGGACTGATTGATCATTATTTTTAATGGTAACTGAAAAATATATCTATTGTGCTATATTTACACGTTTAAGTATGAAAATATGTCTTATTATAAAAAGAAATGCAAGAGTAAAATGTTAAACGTGTCGGAGAATACGCTACGGCGAGTTTATACCTTGTATATATTTTATCAAGTAAACAGGGGCTGGAAAGTAATTTTGTTCTTGATGATCAAGGGGTGATTATTTTATGATGATTTGACCATTACTGACATGGCAAATGTGCCGTACGCCTGTGCATGGAATTATATACAGATTGTAAAAAGTTATACAAAATGCTTTTGTTGTTGTCTCATGCATACTGTGCTTTATTAACACTTTTGAAACTATAAGTGATACATATACTACACAGCAAAGCATGCTGGCAATGTTTATATTAGTAAACAACATTTGTCTCTGATTCTTTCAAAGTCCGAGGTATAATCATAAATCAAAGCACAGAAGGCGCTAAATTTGTTTGGGTCTCAGAATGTCAGAAACGTGAAGGTTGTGAGATTATAAACCAATTTGTTTTTGTATAGTGCCAGCAATGCTGTTTCCAGTGTTATAACTGTAGTAAATTGGCTATAAGGCTAATTGCAACACTGATATTCAATTCGACGTCTATTTGGCTTAAACATACCAAAATAAAGAAAAAACAACATGAGTTGCCTTAACTAGGATTTGAACTCCAGACCTTTTGCTTCCTTAACGAGCGTGTAACCCCTGGACCACGGGGAAGTTATATGAACACAGTCTGAAGCAAACAGCATTATCCTAAATTCCTTATTAATTTCGAGATATTTTGTTCACGGTAAACCTGTTGTTTAACACGTGATGTAAATAATCATGGAGCTTAATATAAGCATGTATATTTGTGAAAATATTTAGCAAAAATCTTCTCACATGTATATAACAGTTCACTACTGTAAATAAAAATATCCATTTAGGCGATCACAATAATCCGAAGCTTTACGGAAATAGCCGAGCAATTTTCATTGATCAAAATGATATTCATCCGCTTAACAAAATTATTGAATATATTACCGGTAATTTGCGGAAATGTTTAAGAATTACACAATATTAGAAATCTTCGACCAATCGGAAACTATTTTTTCTTCCCTGAGAAGGTTTGAAAATTAATGCCCCTGTCATTTGGCAACCTTTACGCAGTGATCTCCCCTTAATTTTTCGGCGTTAGTGTACTAATAAAGGAAATAACCGCTTAGAAAAATTCGTTGCGGACTACTCGCGGATTTTGCTAATAAGCATATCGGGGTCTGAAATTTCGCTGCCATTATTGATTTGGTCTGACGACCCAAACAAATATAAAGTAAGATAATAAACTGGTAAGCTTAACACATCAAATATAGCGGTCAATTTACACTTTACATTACGATCGCTTAACTTCATAACAATTGCTGCATGTCAACTGTATTCGGTCTTTAGTGGCAAGCAAATCTTTAAATTCAAGGTGTTAAATCTTCGATGTAAAGGCTTATTTCGTTTTTACTTAAAAATGGGCAGACGAGTAGATAAATAAACCTATTACCTAGGTCATTTAGAGGGAAGAGCTTACATTAACGCACAGGCGTTCGGCACATTCGCCATGCCAATAATAGTCAAGTTATCATTAAATAATCATCCCTTGAATTACTTTCAAGAATTCGTTTACTATATAAAATAATTGAGGTATATAACTCGCCGTAGCGTATTCTCCCGACATGGTCAACATTTTACTCTCGCTTTTTTTTTTAAATAAGACATATTTTCATACTTCATCTATGTATTTTTCACTAACCGTTAAAAATATTGAGCCATCTATCTTCATTTACGATAAATGAATTATCAAATGTGAAAAAAATACCTTAAAATTGAGAGGTACTCATGTTTTGTGCCAACAGAATTTCCGAAACTACCACGAGTAAACAAACACTTAGCTGCTTGCCATTTGTAAGAAAGTATTCCAAGCAGGTTAAAACATTGAATTCCAACTGAAATATGTTATTTGTGAACAATCTATGTATTAAATTATGCAAGTTTAACTCAGTTTTATCACATTCTTGTTTGTGTACATATTGCAACCATTACACCACGCGCATTTAATAAGCCAATGAAAACCTTCAATTTCTTTTACCAGAAACATGGCGGCTTTTTGAAGAAAAAATGTGTAAAATAAATGCGCGTTCATGTGACATTTGTAGCGCCGATATATGTCCAAACGTCGAAAAATGTCCAAACGACGATAAATGTCCAAAAATTGACGATAAATGTCTCAATCGCCGATAAAGCAATACGTTTTAGCATTGTTTGTGTTCTTCAATATTTTTGTGCCCCATAGAGCGTTGCCATTGTCCGTCCGAGTGTCTAAGTGTCCGTCCCGAAAGTTTGTGAACGGTATAGGGCGTGGACAGAGTTGCATATTCTTTTACTGTCAAGTGGTCAAAAGTTAAGAAAAATATGCAACTCTCTCTGGCAAACAAAGCAGTTAACCTGTATAAACCATGTGAGCTAATCAAAGGGTTAACTGCTTTGACAGTTAAAATCTGACCTACTGATTCAACAGCGAACAGTACAGACCTTGACAGGATGACGCATTTGCTTGTCGGGGGATATGGTTCGACAATGGTCGTTATAAGCATATACGCAACACGTGTTAAATGGGTTTTGTGACTTTTCTCTTAAGTGCTGCGAAGACGGTCTTTCTCATGCTACATTGATTTAAGACATTTGTATTTGAGTATTACTCATTCGCGCGTGGTGGACTGAACGCCGCTGCGGGGCCACCGCCTTATAAATACAGAGTTTTGAAAGGCTACTTACATGTATCCCTCCAGTATCGACCCAGATCAGTTAGCACGCAAATGCGTCACCAGATGAGGGTATCCGCTATTAAACACCAGTAATTGGTAGTTAAGGTTTTGTATGTCCCTACAGTGTGGCACAGTCAAGATCAAACTACATGGTTAAACATGAATATAATGTATATATAATCAAGTAAATCGATGGCTTGGTGCGAAAGGGTTGTAACTCATATTAAATAAAGAAGGAGATACAACCCTTTCGTACCAAGCTGTCGAAATGTTCAACTAAATAAGGGGAAGTTACTGCTATATTACCATTTTACAGCTTCTGATTGGCTATAATTATGTCGTGGGAACAAGATAATTATTTGGTGGGAACAAGATATAATCTCGTGGGAACAAGATGATTATTTCGTGGGAACAAGATAATATCTCGTGGGAACAAGATGATATATTGTGGGAACAAGATAATATCTCGTGTGAACAAGATAAATTAAGACACCCATGTGTCATATCTGTGCCACCGTAATAGACACTTGACGTAATAGTATGTTTTCTTGCTGAGCTGGTTGGATACAAACATGTACATTTAAAATTACGTATATGTCAAATATTAACTTAACAATATTATATAAATAACACATGGCTGTCATTTTGCATTATGCTAACTGGTTACTAAAGCATAATTATCGTTTTTATCAATACAGAGTTATGTCAGAGTTATGTACCCCAGGGTGATCCGGGAAATACATTCTAGGAGGGTGATATTCGATCAGAACACATTTTAGGCCTATGGGAGTTTTACATTGAATGATATATTGAGTTATAATAATATATAAATAGCATGTTGCTGTCGGGGTGTTAGAGGATATTGTCAACCCGAGAAGTTGTATATTAACCCGAGGCGCAGCCGAGGGTAATATGCCAGTTCAAGGGTTGGCAATATCCTCTATCACCCCGACAGCCATATGTTATTTATTTTATTATACCGAAAAAAACCTTAGGTCCCAAAACATTCATAAGAGAAAATACAGATCAACACTTCAAAATTACATCGACACAAAAATGTATTGATAAAAACAAGACAAACAGACAGACAGACATATCGTTTTTTCTTCATTAGAAAATAAATAACAACAACAAAATCAAATTATTATAATTATTATTAATGGATGCAAAATTACAATTATTTTTAATCATCTATCTATAAAATTTTC